TCCAGTCACATCAGAAAAAAAAAATGGTTCCCGAAACGTCGGTTTACTACGGATCCAGTCACATCAGAACCCTGATGATGGGGACAGTTTTTCCCGAAACGTCTGTTTATTACGGATCCAGTCACTTCAGAACCCTAATGATGAGGACAGAGCTGGTTCCCGAAACGTCGGTTTACTACGGATCCAGTCACATCAGAACCCTGATGATGGGGACAGCTGATCCCCGAAACGTCGGTTTACTACGGTAACCAGTTGACGCGACTGATTGCCGGAGAATATTGTATTGGTTTATTTTTAATTGTTGATGCTAGTATAGATCAGTGGCGAATCCTGGACTTGAAATTAGGTCTTACGGAAGTGCAATTTTATTAATTGCCCCCATGTTATGTGACCTTTTGGTCTCGTATTCGATAGCCCTGGTTTAAAATTTCGCCCTAGATATGGAATATATAGTGAGCATTTTCATGATTTTCCTCGGTGCCCAGCTCATGCTGAAGTGAAAGTTTAAATGATTTGAGTCGTTCAGTCATCCCTTTTATGTAACCCAGAGATTCATTACCGTGTTAAGAAAAGCCAGCCACTGGTCACTAGAAGTGGTTTCCGCGTGGTATTACAACAAATTGGAAAGGTGTACTTCAGAGTACAATAAAATTCTAGTGTTGTTATTTGCTAAATATCACGGGCTATGCCCTCTGTATGTCAACGAAGGGAGAGACACTGGCATCAAAGCCCGCTGTCGTATCCAAGGTAACTGTTACAATGTGATGTCTGAAAGACATTCACGGGGCCAATAAGTCCTCGGTTACACTAAAGCGTGAAGACTTAAAATCATACAGCAGTGCTTCTTAAGTCTGCTTGACGGATTTTAATGACTGTTGTTCAGTAACTGAAGGCAAACATTACCGTTTGCCTCTCTCGTTTTAAGAGTGGCTTGTTAGCCTGTTACTAAGTTCTGAATAATATGCCGATAATTTGTGAGTTTGCCTTCGTGGTTATCATGCTGGCTTCTTCTGATGCTAGTGCCATGATGTATGCCCATGTTAATGGTAACCTCTCAACTTTGATAAATAATACATAGCTATTCCATCCAGACGGCAGCAGTGATACGACAGCGGCTATGCTCCGTTACTTGTCGTACGTCATCGTGGTTTCAGATCAGAGGTCGGTCAACTGATATTACACCCTGGTTTACACACTGCCCGAAGCTGATGTTTAATCTGTGCCAGAAGAGGACCATTTGTGAGAAATTACGACGTAGTTCAGGGTCTATCGAGAATCGTATTTTGCGATCGAGGGGTCGAATTCCTGCTTCATATTTCGGAGGGCTCGCGTCAGATTTTCGGCCTGGACGCAGACAGAGATTGGTATAGTACTTTAAAACAAGCCATGACCAAAATATTTCGAATATCATTTACAATTTGTGCACTTTGGGATCATCGTTAAATCTGCTAAGAAACAAGCGATTGTCAGAGTTGTAATAGAAATATTCAGTTAACGAAATTGCAGTCTTAGATGATTGTCTTTTGAGTCGTTGCGCCGTATAGTCTAGTAGAAGGCTACCAACGTTTCAGAAGTCCTAGCTGACTCCATCATCAGGACAGTTATCTAAATGATTGCGACAGTTCATAATAGAAACACCATGTTGGACATTGATTATCGAGTGATGTATGTACAGAGTGAGTCAAAAGTATGTTTACAAACTTCGTGTGCGTTTTCCAGGGTAAAAAATAATAAAAAATGTTCCTACGAACATGGAGTCGCAAATGTTTCATTTTCGAAATAATAGCCAAAAATAATTTTCAGTATATGCCTTTATTGCCAAGTATAAGGACAGGGATGTTTCTTTGTAACAGATGCTCTAAGGTTGTTCCTCCATTCTCCACACATGCCCGAGCACGATGTACACAAGACTGACGGATTCCTTCGTACACACCAGGGTTTCCTCAAATCATCTGGCATGCATTCTGCAACGTTCCCTTAGGCCGCCTTCATTGTTTATGGGTGTTGCATTAACGACGGACGTCAAGT